TAGAAACCAGGAGGCTGTAAGTTCTAGTCCTGCCTTAGTCATGAAAGCTAGCTGAGTGACCTTGGGCCAATCACTCTCAGCCCAACTCATCACACAGGGTTGTTGCTGTTGAGAGAAATAGGAAGAGGAAGAAGTATTAGGTATGTTCACCACACTGAGCTACTGATAAAACAATGATCTAATGAATAAAGCAGTTACAGGTGCAACAGCTACCACATACATTATACACACAAGTTTAAAACATTGTAGGAATACAGCAGCATGATATTGTGGGATTAGGGCCACCCCAAATGCAGGACGGCATGCAGCCTAATTTGAGACATGAGTATATTGAATAATGCAATTATAATTTCATGGGGACTTTCAGTAGGAAAAAGGTTGCAGCTCTGTGTAGTGTAGTGGGAAAAGAAAGGAAAGCTTTCTTCCCTCCAGATGGTGCTTAAGGCTGATCTGATGCCTATTGTTTGCATCCGGAGCCTGAATATTTTCCGGCACAGAGCCCAACATATATTGGAGAACACAAGGAATGTTTTCTTCTCTTTTTTTATTATTACTTGAGTTAATCACTGAATACAACCCATTTTTCTATTGACTTCAGTAGTTGCATGTTGGGTTGTGTGCCAAAAAAGAAAATCCAGAATAACATGATTCACCGCAAACATTCATATCTATTCAGCCCAATGCCTCCAATTAAGAAGTTTAGATTGACACTAACAAGGCAAGTGTTTCCTTTAGATCAAGGCTGTATTCTTTCTTTTAGAGCAAAAATCTTAGCTACTACCTAACAGTTGCAGATTTTGCCCCTAAAGAACTCCTTGAGGTTTATATCCAGTTTTTATTTTTATTTAAATAGTATTATATAGAATTTTATGATACTTAATGCTTTGGGTGACTCAGTGGCCATCCCATAGATTTGATTTATACCTATTATTAAGCCTTAGTTGTTCAATAAGCCACAATGGCTGGGTTCACACAATTTACTAAGACACAATGAGATTGCATTTGGGCTTTATGAGAAATTAGATACATGTAACCCTTGACTTACGACCACAATTGAGTCCAAAATTTCTGTTGATAAGCAAGACATTTGTTAAATGAATTTTGCCCCATTTTATGACCTTTCTTGCCACAGTTGTTAAATGAATCACCGCACTTGTTAAATAAGCTACACAGTTGCTAAATGGTTCTGGCTTCCCCCATAGACTTTGCTTGTCAGATAGCTGCCAAATGTTGATCACATAATCTTGGGACACTGCAACCATCATAAATCTGAGTCAGTTGCCAAGAGTCTGAATTTTGATCACATGACCATGAGGATGTTGTAACCGTCTAAGTATGAAAAATAGTCATTAGTCACTTTGTTTAGTGTGGTTGTAACTTTGAAAGGTCACTAAACAAACAGTTTTAAGTTGAGGACTCCCTGTACTATACTTTATAACCCATGGTTTAGTTTTTCTTTTCAAGTTTGGAACTGGCCAGTTGCTGCTTATTTAACAAACCTTGACTAAGGATGTGCAAAGTCTGTCCTATTTCTTACCACCCTGCATGATTCCAGACATAATTTTGCTTGTAAACTATGGGCTATGTTTTGGTATTAATTATAATAAAAAAATCTATTATGTGCCATCAGCTTGGTCATAACTCTTAGCAACTACATGCATAGACTTTTCTCCAGGAGTTATGTAAGAACCCAGCCAATTTAAGTTTACTCAGGAAACCTGGTTAAATAGACTTTCACAGGATTCCTGGCAATAATTAAAGGTGTTAAGAAAGAGGCTTTACTGAAGGCCACCTTGTGAGATCATCACTGAAATTAAATTTAGACAGGGCTAGGTTGTTACAAATTATGTACACTAGTCTTACTTTTCAGTCTGGTGTTTGAGTTGGCTATTGAGTTTGTTTTTTTCAGCATACTTAGAGACAGCGTTGAAGAGGTATTCTTCCTTGAGTCAAACTTGACTCTTGGCATTGGAATCCAGCTGGTTTCCTTTTGCTTAAGTTAAAAAATCAAAGTTAAACTCGGATTTTATTGCGTGGGTATGTGATGGCTCCTACTCAGCCATGAAACTTACAGATAATTGTAATACCAGTTGCTGTAACCCTCTTCAATAAACCTCCTAAAAAATAAATTGAGTGAAGGATTGAGTACACTGGTCCTGTCCAGATGTTCATCTGCATCCCCACCCACCATCTTCTCTTTCAGGAGTGTCCACAAGGTGATTGAAATTCAGGAAAGCAGCCACTGTCCTGAATTTCAAAACCATGCCATAACTCATAGGAAAAAACACCAAGCTTCAATCATACGCTTTTATTTATATTTACAATACACATTTATATTTATATGACTGCCTAATTCCAACTCTAGGTCAGGTGGTCAATTAGGGCCCCTTTATGACCTGTGGGTGGTTCGAATCCCTAGTGCCGCGTAACAGAGTGAACTCCCGTTACTTGTCCCAGCTTCTGCCAACCTAGCAGTTCGAAAGCATGTAAAAATGCAAGTAGAAAAATAGGGACCACTTTGGTGGGAAGGTAACAGTGTTCCGTGCACCTTCAGCATTTAGTCATGCTGGCCACATGACCATGGAGACGTCTTCAGACAGCGCTGGCTCTTCGGCTTAGAAATGGAGATGAGCACCACCCCCTAGAGGGGGAAACGACTAACATGTATGTGTAAGGGGAACCTTTACCTTTATGACCTGTGGATTTCAATTCCCATAATTTCTGAGCCAGCCATGCTGATTCAGGAATTCTGGATTTAAGGTCCACATGTCAAAAAGAGACCATAGTTGGCCATCCCCACTCCATGGACTATTCAAACAAACAAACAAATAAAACCGTAACTGATACAAATAATATGGTCAACAGAACTGAAGACTTCCATAATTTACTCATTGGGGACTTATTTCAACCCAACTCCAAAGCCCAGGAGAAGAACCGAATCTTAATGGCTTCTTAAAGGCATTTAGGGTTACGGGCCAATCACATGCCTGGAAAAAGATGGTTTCAAAGAGCAGGGGCTACCATAGGGGAGGTATGTCTCCAGGATCTCATAAAATGACATCGTTACAGTGAGTTGTGCCCTCCAACAAACAGATACCTTGGGATCAGGCTGTCCTGCATATAAAACCTAGCTTTATGCCAGGTAGAACTTTATGGATAATAACCAGTATTTTGAACTGTACCGAGAATCCTAGTGATAGCTAGTGTAGTTTGTGGTGTTAGATGTGTTATGTGCACATACCTGCAACACACTCTGGATCAATTCTGAATGATCTTTAAGGGCAGCCCCATGAAGACTGCAATAATCTAGTTAGGAGGTGACTAAGGCATGAATGACCATGAGGAGAGTCCCTAATTCAGGAATGTCATACAATATGTGAATATCTAGTCACAGCTGCCACCTACTGCTCAAACAGAAGCCAGGAGTCTAGGAAGACCCAGATTGTGAACGGAATCTGAGTGTAAGCAGTGCAATCCCACCCGGACCCAGGAACGAAGCTCTCCAGTTCTAAGATCCATGAGGCCCAAACCCACAGCCACTCAAGTCTTAGAAAGGATGGGCCAGTTCTTCCCCATCCATTGTCCTTACTATCTCCTCCAGACACTGGTGTAGAACCTTGACAGCTTCGCTTGGATGGCTGGATGGGGGCAGAGATGTACAACTAGCACCAGTATGCAGATGATGCTGTATTCCATGCTGATGAATGATTTTCCCCAATGGCTTCAGGTGGATGCTACAAAGAATGTGTGTCCCTGATGCTGCATGTCTTTTGCCTTCCTCTCCGTCCATCTAATTTGGGTTGCTTTGGGTTGGCTCTTTGGAGTTGACTATTGCCAATGTCTGGTTTATGCCAGATGACTGCTCACAGCCTAGCCGTGCAAAGAAAGGCATCCCATGGGTTTAAACAAAAATAAATACATAAGAAAATGCTATTTCAGAACTAAAATGATTATTTAGACATTTATGAAATCATACCAATGGGCAAGGGATTATGGTAAAGACAATAGAAACACAAATGCGTTGAACCATTTTTCTCTTGAGGCGTAATAGGAAGCATGAAATAAAAGCATTCTAGGACATTTTAGCTGTGCAAAACAATTACTTTTCAATTTTTTAAAAAATACTTTCTTTAAAGAAAACCAATATTAAGATGCAGTGGATTTTTTTAAGGGCAGGATCCAATTTCACAAATATTTCCTAATGACCCAGAAAAACTCGGAAGTTGGTTTTACCCTGTTTCCAGCATGCTTTTTTTTTACAGAGACCAGGAAGGAAACAGTTAAGAGTTATCAGAATCAAAGAAGTGTGGAGCAGAACTGCAAGAAATCTGCAACTCGGTTCTGACAGCTTTGGGGTAAAAGCAACATATTAGTTTTCGGTGTCGCTCCTGCTGTTCTCTAACAATCATTGAGTCTGCTGTCGTGGGAATCCTTTTTCTATTCGCTTCGTGGGATTAATTCTCACCCCACTCCTGTCCAAAGCAAAGTCCTCAAACACAACCCGCGCGTTACATATTCGTTTTTCTCCGATTGGAATTTTCCGGTTCCTAAATTAATTTTCCATTTTAAATGCCAATAATCCAATCGGGAGCTTGAAGGACTTTATATAGCTCAGGCCTTCTTATGACTCAGAGGCCGCGATCTCTCAAGAGACCGCGTCAACCTGTGAGTAAGGAAGATGCGTCTGGTTTTCCCGCTGATGCGCGCTTCCCCTTTAAGACGCTCGGATCGAACGGGGAGTCTCCCCGCTTTCACACCTTGGGTGGGAAAGGGAGGCGGGACCTCTCGCCTCTGATTGACGGCCTGCCAACCTCAATGGAACGTTGTATATCCGAACGGGGAGAAGGGCCTGCCGTCCAATCGGGAAGCGCGCGGGCACGCCGCGGAATGCCCAGGAGCCAATAAGAGAGCGGGAAGAGGACGGAACATGTTGCAATGTGTCCAACGTGGGTTTGAGTTGGGCAACCGACGCTCGCGGGGACTCAAAAGTGACTTTGCGGACGGGGAGGTGGGGACGCGAAGGTGACGGGCTGGCCGCTTGCATCGGAGCCCCGAGAGTATCGCGCGCTTGCTCGGCTCGGCTGACTGCTCCCGAGCGGGACGCGTATCAGTCCCGAGGAGGCGGGAGGAGGAGGAGGAGGAGAGCCAAGCAAGGAAAAGCCAAGAGGGGAAAGTTGCGGAGGCGGAGATAGAGCGAGCACCGCTTCGCCAGTGCTTGGCAAAGGTGTCGGAGCCTCGGAGGAGAAAAAGGGCCAGGCATCGGCGTTGCTGTCTCCCCTCCCGGTGGCAAGCTCCGCTGAGTCTTTGCTCCGCTGAGCTTTCGGGCTCGGTCTCATCTTGCAGCGGAGGAAGCGAGAGAAGCAGCGGGGAAGAAAGAGGAGGAACTTTTTGGGTGCGTGGAGCTTTTCCCGGGCTCGGCCCAGGCGCGGCAGCCTGCAGCCGAAAAGATGCGGGCTCCCCCTTTTTCCCAGTACAGGATCCACTCCCTCGCTTAGCCCGCGAGTGGTGATCCCGGAGAGGATCTTTAGCTTCGTGCCGGGGCCAAGAGCTCGCTTCTTCCTCCCTGCCGGCGTTGGAGACTCTTAAAAGTCCTGCTGCGTGGAAGAGCCGGCGCTGCGCCCTTTTGCGCCGGGACCGGACCCCGAGAAAACTGAAAGGAGTTTGTCAGTGCTCGGACTGAGGTGCCATGGTTTTAACCAAGTGCTTCTTGGAGGCCTGCTGACCTCGGAGCGAAGAGCTCAGGTCTAGGAAGAAAAACAACACGCGTGGGACTTTTCTTTCGTTCAACCCCCCCCCCCCCCCCCCCCCCCCCAACCTTTGGGTGTTTCCCCTCTGTGCATGCTCTTGTGGTCCCCGTTTTTTCCACAAGGATACAAAATGGCGCTGCCAGGATGGGGAGAGGTGAGGTCTTCACCCCTCAGAGGTGCCTGCTTTTGGACACTGCTTCTGATTTTCCAAATGTTCGTGGGAAGGGGCTCTTGCGTGGAGTGTGACTCCAACTGTACGTGCACCGGTGATCTTTTGGACTGCAGCAACCGGGGACTTGAAAGAGTTCCTCTGGAACTGCCCCCCTGGATAGTTCATCTGTAAGTGTCCTATTTGCAAAGGCATGTCCTATTTGGATAGGCATGCCCGATTCTTTTGAAAGTCTGCCTTATGTGTGAGTACAAACGAGGTCTCCATCCCCTTCATGAAGGGCAGTTTCTAATCCTTTCTTCTTTGCAGAGGGCGATTAATGTAACAGCTAGTTTCCTCTTCATTGACATATCTAGTTGTAGCTAGTTGCTGAGCAACTAACTCTGACATCCCTTTGGGAGTAGATAGTTCTCACATCCCCAAAGGAGAACCCAGCGGGAATAGAAGCTGCCCATTCACCTTCTAGTTACTGTATAGACTGCAGAATGAGATGTTTTAAAGGGGACACCTCACACCCTCATTCGTCAAACTCTATGGGCATCGAGTTCCTTCTCCATGGAGCCCCCATCTGCAAACTCACAATGTTTACCTTCTTTCCTTCCTGAAGTTCTCAATTGAGTTTCTCTTTATCAGTAGGTATATACAGTATACAGGACATAGGTGCTTTAATTTGCTTTGTTCAACATGTGTCGGTTCTGAAAGGTCCTATATTCTTGGTTTATCCTATAATCCTATGAAACCTGCTTTGGACATGCTCGGGAAGGTCATTTGTCCAGAAAAAAACCCCATTCTGATTAATGATTGAAATAAGCATTGAAGGTGGTCAAGCAGGATTCTTTTATTACAATTATTTTAAAGTCAGACAAGATCAAAAGGTTGGAAAACTCCATGTTTTTAAATATCAATGTCCTTAAGTTTCTTTTATAATAACCCTGGTTAAAACCCAAGATTAGGCCCCAGGAAATCCTATGCTGTGTTAAATAGGTCTCCTTAGAGCTACTACACAAGCTTCGGAAGCTCAAGATTGTCAAATGTAAGGGATTTCTAGAGAGTCATCTGCTAATTATTATAAGATTGTCATTTGTGTGTTGTATGCATACAGCACTCTATTTCAGATACAGATTTTGTTTAAACCTGACATAGGCTCTTCGGCCAATCTTTAGTTATTCCACTTTTTTCTTCTGGAGGGATAAGATTATCTCTTTCGTCTTTAATTCAGTGATGAAATTTAAAGGCAATTGGATAAATGGTTGCTGTTTGCTTTTACAAGACAGAGAATATTCTACTTGTCTAAGCCACTTCTTTATGCTTCCTAAGGAATTAATAGTTGCAGTCCAAAGTGAAGAAAGCTGATTTTTTTTGTAGAAAAAAATTAAATGGTTTGCAGATGTAGGCCAAATGCCTTTCCTTTGGTTGTTGCACACTGCAGTGACCCTTGTTATCTGTTAAATAGTTTGATGAGTCACAATTTATAATTACTTAATTCATGATGTCCTCAAATTGGGGATCCATATCATCTTATAGTTCAGGTGTTAAAATATGGGCCAGTAAAACATGGTTTTTGTCTAACCTGGTGCATTCAGATTCTCATCATACCTCATATACAAGTATTTCCTTTTTGGCTGTAGATGCATTTACTTGGAAATAAGTATGCTTTGGACTACAGTCTTGGTACTCTTAGGCAGAAAACTGCTTATAAATGTGTAAGGATAGAACATAAGTAGTTATCAAAGATCAAAATATTGACTTATTAAAGATTGAAATTATTCCTGGAAAATGAATTTTTCATTCCTGCTTGCTGTAATAACTTTTTTTTAGCAGAGTTAGTCAACTTAAATATACTATACAGGGATCTGGTATTCTACTTAAAGATGTTAGAGCACTTTAACATACATTGTAACTTGAGAAATGTCAAATTGCCTTAACAGAATAGGATATATCTGTGCCTAGATTGAAACCTACGGGCACCCCAGAAACAGAATTAGGACAAAATCACTTCAAGATAAAGATATGGCCTTATTTGTCATGGAGAGTTTGATACTTAACCAGACTTTAAAAATGATTTAAAGGCTCTTATTTCATGAGAAAAAAAAGATAGTGATTAAAATACCAAAGCTATAGCTTTGCAGTTTACATTTTTGAATAAAATTCTACACTTCCTTCTTTGATGTCTACTTTTACTGATGTTATATAAATTACTTGGCCATGTAAACCTCAGTCTCTTTGCATGAGAGTTAATGAATTAACGACTTCTTATCCACTGCAAATGTGGTGTGTTAGAGTGATTTTTAAATTAAGATTAATGGGATTATAATTGAGCTGCCAGTCCCTAGAGTGTAATATTGCCTATCTCAGTATTAAATAACCACTATCTCAAAGAGTTATATGCAACGGACTTTCCATGTATATAAAAATCAGAATGGAATATACCTCTTATATTCTGCCATCAGAGATCAGGAAGTAGTTGATTGTGTTAACCACAAGTCAGTGATTACTTCCTACGGCTGATTCTTGTAATCTGCTAAGGTTTTGTTTTAAACTTTTATCTAGAAGCCAGCACTTTTCGCCCTGTACATGTTTGCTATTTAAGAAGGCTAATTGCTCAGTTAATGCTGTACTTCAAGAGGACAGGTGGGTGGCTTTTCCATGTGTACCATTTTTATTTTGGTTGTAATTTTAGGACTGGGAATCCATTGCCAGTGGTGCTAAACTGTGGATGTTGTCTAACAAGCAAGATACCTATAATGTATGAAGGATATTTTTATGAAGACAAGCTCCTTTGATTTTATTCATTCATTTTATGAAGACAAGCTCCTTTGATTTTATGCATTAACTCATGCTTGGATGGCCAGTTTGTTGATGACAGTAGCCCTCCTACTGTATGTCTACAGTATTGTGGCAGTCATCTTTGTTTATTCCTGTGAAAGTTTCACCAGGATTGTGCATGTTAGCTAGTAAACTGTGCTGATCAGAGTGGAGCCAGCCTTTGTATCCAGTTTGGACCAGAAGTATGACATCACCTGAAATCCCTTATAAACTTTCCATGGCTGGGTTCATGCATTACACAAAGCTGTGGTTTTCTTAACAATAGTTTATGGAATAAACTATAATTGCTTGGGTTCACACACAAGTCACTGACAAACCATGGTTTATAAATCATGATTGCAGAGTTCACACCAAACAGCAAATCACTCTATAGCTTAAGCCTTAAAGTCTTGCAAGAAATCGGTTTGGGCATTTGAAAAAGAGGCCTCTTGTTTGGGGAATGGGGTAGGTCTTTGGAGTGTCTTTGATTTGAGCTTTACTTTCACCTTGGCGTGATTATGTGTGGTTTATTGTTTCCTTCTGGATTTGTAGCTTTATATTTATGTATTAATTTTGTATCTAGAAATCTTATTCACAGAGAATCAATACAAAGTTCTAAGCTTTTACAATAAACATCAATTTATTTACATACACATGGCACAAAGTGGCTTGCTATAACATGAAATTTTAAAACTGATTTGCATTTAAATACATGGGAAATACTTTAGTATATTAATTAACGGTACTTACCATACATTATTTTGCAACTCATTTGTGATAAATGACATAGCTTGCACTTTATTATATTTATGTGAACATAGAATTAAAGGACTAGAACAGGGCTGTCAAACTCGTGGCCCAGATGCGTCATAGGCTGGCCACACCCATGCCCAGTTTAGCGAAGGGGGCAAAAGTCCCAATACGTCACATGATGCCTCTGTGATGACACAAGTTTGACACCCCTGGGCTAGAAGGTACCTCAATGGTCCTTTAGTTCAACCCCCTGCTCAAGGCAGGAGATCTTACACCATCCTGGTCAAATGGGGGGCCACTGTATTTTTGAAGACCTCCAATGAATGGGGCACTTACAACTCTGAGAGGCAAACTATATATATCTGGCTATTATGGTTTGGCATTGTTCAGTATATTAATTTGGCCATTTATATTTTATAAATCATGTTTTATGACTTAGTGTGATCTGGCCAATAGTATGGCTTATACAACTAATACAGTTTCATATTAGTACAGTGTTTCTCCATCTTGGCTGCTTTAAGCTCTGTGGACTTCAACTCCCAGAATTCTCCAGCCAGCATGGCAGGCTGAGAATTTTGGGAATGGCCAAGTGGCCAAGATGGAGAAACACTATATTAGTGTGTCCTCAGCCATATTCCTCAGAATGGTTTGACATTTTAGACATCTTTTTAAAAAGTTTTAAATGAATAATTCAGGATTGCAAACTTTAAAAAAAAGACACAATCTCTGACTCTAGCAATAAAAGAATGGGCTTACTTTGCAACTGATGTTGATGGAGGGGGAAGAGAGGGAGATGGAGGCTTCTCATTTGACAGTTATGACTTCATATCGGTAAATCCTCTTCATAGTCTGTAAATGAATGGAATTAAATAGAGGTGTGATCTCCAAAGGTCATATTGGTATGTAGCTCAGCAGATCAAAGGCTAGCATAAAAGTTTCGGCTCTCCCTTTCCCCAGCCCCCATCCAAACATCTGATGAAAAATTCCAATTTTGTATTTTCAGCACTGGTAAATTTCTCTCTGTATGGTAAGCTCTCATAAGTTGATGTCCTTTTTCTTTTCCTACATTTTCCTGATTTGTTCCTTCAGGATTTGTGGTAAAAATTCTGAATTTTTATGAGGTGATCATAAAATTTGGTGAGGTGAACTGAATATTATGTCTTCCCTTAAAAGGGAAATCTTCCTTCATGATGCTGTTAGTATTATTATACAGGTAATCCTCAATTTATGACCACAATTGAGCCCAGAATTTCTGTGGTTAAGCTTGATCAGCTGTTAAGCAAGTTTTGCTCCATTTTATGACCTTTCTTGCCATAGGTGTTAAGTGAATCACTGTAGTTGTTAGTAAGTGATCCAGCTTCCATTTTGACTTTGCTTTTCAGAAGGTTGCAAAAATGTGATCACATGACCCAGGGCACTGCAACCTTCATAAATATGAGCCACTTGCCAAGCATCCAAAGTTTGATCGTGTGACCGTGGAGTTATTGCAACATCGTAAGTGTGAAAAATGGTCACAAGTCAATTTTTTCCAGTGCCATTATAACTTTTAATGGTCACTAAATAGCAATAGCACTTAGATTTATATACCATTTTACAGTGCTCTACAGCCCTC